ATAATAGTATCTTTAGTTTTACTGGTTGTGCTAGTTATGCATTTAGGTACTTCCCACCTACCAGACTTTTGTCCGGTATAATACATGTTGTGAATCATTTCTAAAAGTTTTGATAAATTAAAGGTCACAAAAAATAATGTTGGCAGTCAGTCCCTTAACACGTGGGTTTAAAATATTTTTAGATTTTTGACTGGGTTTACAATTGGACTGATTTATAAAGCTATTATTTAATATTAAATTATAAACGGTTTGTACAGAGCAGGTGTATTCAGCAATTAAAACAAAACAATTCTACTTTTTCATCTCCAAGTCTAATTTAATCTGGACTCATACATTTCCATTCCAATATCATTAATCAAAAACATTTCCATCCAAATACCATCCATTAAATACATTTCCACCCAATCACTATCCATCAAAAACAAGTCCATCCTAATACAATCCATTAAATACATTTCCATCCAAATACTATCCATCAAACACATTTCCATCTAAATACTATCCACTAAACACAATTCCATCCAAATTCCATACATCAAACATAATTCCATCCAAATTCCATTCATTAAACACAATTCTATGCAAATACCATCCTTTTAACACAATTCCATTCAAATTCCATCCATTAAACACATTTTCATCCAAATTTTATCCATCCAACCAAATCCATTCCTATCCAACCTCAATCCACCCAGATCCAATTCAACCAAACCTCAATCCAGCCACCTCCAATTCAATCATACTTCAATCCAACCTTAATCCTACCACATCCAATTCAATCCAACCTAAATTTAACCCAACCTGTTCCGATTAACCCAAACTGGTGCAAATTCAACCCAACCTATTCTGAATAACCCAAATTGCTGTTTATTCAAAACAACCTATTTTAAATAACCCAAACTGGTGTAAATTCAACCCAACCTATTCCGATTAACCCAAACTGGTGTAAATTCAACCCAACCTATTCCGAATAACCCAAACTGGTGCAAATTCAACCCAACCTATTCCGAATAACCCAAACTGGTGTAAATTCAACCCAACCTATTCTGAATAACCCAAACTGCTGTTTATTCAAAACGACCTATTTTAAATAACCCAAACTGGTGTAAATTCAACCCAACCTATTCTGTATAACCCAATCTTGAGTAAATTCAACCCAACCTATTCTGAATAACCCAAACTGGTGTAAATTCAACCCAACCTATTCCGAATAACTAAAACTGGAGTACATGTAACCTAGCCTATTTTGCAAAGCTTAAGTAAATCCAATCAAACCTATTCTAAAAAACCAAAGCTAAAGCTCCCCTCCCTCCCCCCGAAACTTATTAAAATATTTGTTTTGCAAAATTAAGTTTAATGTTGTGTAATAAACCGAACAGAGGGTACAGAGGGTTCGCATAAATTAGCAATAAAAGTATAATTGTAAAGATATGAACTGCCAGCCAGTAGACCGACCGTGAGCAGTTCTATTCTTAATAAAAACTCAATTAGAATATGTCAACTCCTAGGTACCTATATTTATCATATTTTTATATAAATCTAACATGAAGCCTAATACGGGAGAAACTAAACATAAATCATTTTTTGCATTTACAGTATTTAAACAAGAAGGATATATACTGATAGAAACAGTAGTAAAAATGTAGAAAATAAATATAAAAAAATGTGTTTTTTGGAAATAAGAATGAATTGTCGGATTGCTGTTTCAAGCACTGAATCACTGCTGTTTCAAGCACTGAATCACTGCTGTTTTAAGCACTGAATCACTGCTGTTTCAAGCACTGAATCACTACAGTTTCTATCATTGAATCACTGCTGTTTCAAGCACTGAATCACTGCTGTTTCAAGCACTGAATCACTGCTGTTTCAAGCACTGAATCACTGCTGTTTCAAGCACTGAATCACTGCTATTAAAATAGAAAAAATGAAACTCCTGTTTTTAAAGAATATCCCTAAAAAATCTCGCTAAGTACAGAATTAACATTTTCTCTCTATCTATCTAATAATTATCTTCGCTCATGTATTATATATTTGTATATTTATATTTTACCTATAGCTGGCAAAACGATTTGTTTTAATTCGATTGTAAAAAAATTCCACGGGCAACGCCGGGCACTTCAGCTAGTTATCAAATATTTCAATTCAATTTCATAAATATAATGAGATAATTTGTATTAGTTGGCACGCAGATATGACAGACCTTGTGGTAAATCATAATACCAAAATATGAATATTATTTATTCTAATCTTTATAATTTTTCCATCTTGATGCTGATCATGCTTTTCTAGGAGGGGGGGGNAATCCTGATAATTTAGATAAATTAAAGGATTTATTAGAGAATATAATCTCCATGTCACATAAATCAGTGCTTCTAGTTTATTTTATGCATTTAAATGATGGGAACTAACCTAATTTATTAGGCTAGGGGAGGGTATACACTAATACAAACCAGGATAAGGATTTATAAACAGATCTGATTTATTCTTAGTACGTGTAGATTCAACTTAATAATTGGTTGGATTAATTCAGGGTTAGGTTAGAATAGTAGGATAGAGTAGGATAGAGTAGGATAGAGTAGGATAGAGTAGGATAGAGTAGGATAGTGTAGGATTTAGTAGGATATAATAGGAAAGAGTAGGATAGCGCAGGATAGAGTAGGACAGAGTAGGATAGAGTAGGATAAAGTAGGATAGAGTAGGATAGAGTAAGATAGAGTAGGATGGAGTAGGATAGAGTAGGATAGAGTAAGATAGAGTACGATAGAGTAGGATAGAGTAGGATAGAGTAAGATAGATTAAGATAGAATAGGATAGAGTAGGATAGAGTAGGATAGAGTAGGATAGAGTAGGATAGATTAGGATAGAGTGGGATAGAGTAGGATAGAGTAGGATAGAGTAGGGTAGAGTAGGATAGAATAGGATAGAGTAGGATAGATTAGGATAGAGTAGGAAAGAGTAGAATAGAGTAGGATAGAGTAGGATAGAGTAGGATAGAGTAAGATAGAGTAGGATAGAGTAGGATAGAGTAGGATAGAGTAGGATAGAGTAGGATATAGAAGGACAGAGTAGGATAGAGTAGGATAGAGTAATATAGAGTAGAATAGAGTAGGATAGAGTAGGATAGATTAGGATAGAGTAGGATAGAGTAGGATAGAGTAGGATAGAGTAGGATAGAGTAGGATAGAGTAGGATAGAGTAGGATAGAGTAGGATAGAGTAGGATAGAGCAGGATAAAGTAGGATAGAGTATGAAAGAGTAGGATAGAGTAGGATACAGTAGGATAGAGTAGAATAGAGTAGGATAGAGTAGGATAGAGTAAGATAGAGTTGGATAGAGAAGGATAGAGTAGGATAGAGTAGGATAGAGTAAGATAGAGTAGGATAGAGTAGGATAGAGTAGGATAGAGTAAAATAGAATAGGAAAAAAGGATTGAAATATATTTACATTGTACTCCAACAAAGTGTTAAAAATGAGTAATATATCATGAATTTAGTTATTGTAATGTTTCTAGTCCTGTCAATGGGACCGTAAAATTGAATTTGAATATATTGGTGTAGAATTAAACCACTTGAAACTGGATCATCATGAGATTATGCAAAGTGGTGGATTTCAATAATTTATCCAGTTTATTCTTTTGAGGTTTCACATATTTCAGCACCAGTTATGATTTTATCTCGATTATAGAATAGAATAGATAAAATGGATAGAAGAGAGGAGATAAGGTTCCCAGAGTCATAAATGATGTAAATCCTTTGAATTCTGGAGGCTCTGAACCCCTCTCAACAAAATAGAGACTATATCCTATAAATTCTGGAGGCTCTGAGCCCCCTCTCTACAACATATAAAGACTAAATACTTTGAATTCTGGAGGCTCTAAGCCCCTCTCTATAAGCCTAAAGACTAAATGTTTTGAATTCTGGAGGCTCTGAGCCCCTCTCTACAACCTAGAAACTAACTTTGAATTATGGAGGCTCTGCGCCCCCTCTCTACATCATAAAGACTAAATACTTTGAATTCTGGAGGCTTCGAGCCCCTCTCTATAGCCGAAAGGCTGAATGCTTTACAATTCCATGTTTATAAGAAAATTTTGAGAATTCTAATTGATTCTTTCCTTACATTTTAGGTGTGAATCATATACCATGAATATAGTTATGTAGATTGTAGATACATTTTACATGACAAAACCTATAAAATCAGCTGAACAACCTTTACTAAAGTAATATGAATGTTACCCCCCTCCCTTCATCCTTTACCCCCCCCCCCCCCCTTAACCTTTTACCCCACACCTCTTTGCTCCATATCCTGCCTGGAATCCATGATGCCCTTGTTATACCGACCACCCGGAGTAATGACGTAACTTATCTTAAAATATTAGTAATAAAAAGGACATTTTGTACTTATTAGAAGTAATTTCGTACTGAGTATCTAGATTAGGGGGGGGGGGGTGAATAAAGAAGGGTAAAGATAGGGTAGGATGAGAGAACTGTGAGAGTTTCACGTGCAAGTGTCAAACTGAAGATAATTGGAGCTTCATGCCTCAGATTCAAAAGATTTAATGCGAAAACTTCGCAATTCTGATCAATCTTAATTGGATTTTATAACTTCCTTTTCACACTTTTTATATTAAGATTTGATTAATAGAATTTCCCATCAGAAAGAGATGAGTAATTAATATTTCCAAGATGGTCAAAATTGTGAAAATTACATTTAAAAGAATTCTAAGCTGAGACTAATGTGTTGAGAAAAGTGAAGAAGAGTTGAGTTCGCACATAAATCCTTTAGATTAGACTATCTTAAGCTTTACTCTTGATTCTCAATACATTGATAACATGTGAAGATAGACAGACAGAAAGATAGACAGACAGATAGACAGAAAGATAGACAGACAGATAGACAGTAAATTGTTATGGAAGAAAGTAGTGGAACTAGGATCTATCAGAGTACAGAGCATCCTATGGAAGAAAGTAGTGGAACTAGGATCTAGCTGAGTAGAGCATCCTATGGAAGAAAGTAGTGGAACTAGGATCTATCTGAGTACAGAGCATCCTTTGGAAGAAAGTAGTGGAACTAGGATACATCTGAGTACAGAGCATCCTATGGAAGAAAGTAGTGGAACTAGGATCTATCTGAGTACAGAGCATCCTTTGGAAGAAAGTAGTGGAACTAGGATACATCTGAGTACAGAGCATCCTATGGAAGAAAGTAGTGGAACTAGGATACATCTGAGTACAGATAATCCTATGGAAGAAAGTAGTGGAACTAGGATCTATCTGAGTACCGAGCATCCTATGGAAGAAAGTAGTGGAACTAGGATCTATCTGAGTACAGAGCATCCATGAAAGAAAGTAGTGGAACTAGGATCTGTCTGAGTACAGAGCATCCTTTGGAAGAAAGTAGTGGAACTAGGATACATCTGAGTACAGAGCATCATATGGAAGAAAGTAGTGGAACTAGGATCTATCTGAGTACAGATAATCCTATGGAAGAAAGTAGTGGAACTAGGATCTATCTGAGTACAGAGCATCCTATGGAAGAAAGTAAATGAACTAGGTTCAGCTCCATCTAGTACAGAGCATCCTAGTACAGAGCAGAAGAAAGTAGATGAACTAGGTTCAGCTCTATCTAGTACAGAGCATCTATACAGATCTAGAGAAGAATCCCTAATGAGCGCTGTCACTCAGATATTTCACGGCTCCACCCACATCAGATTCTGATGAGAACCGCCCCACCTTCTTTCTTTACATGGGAACTGTTATTAGTGATCTTGTTGCAATAAAACCTTATTCTAGAGAGATGGTTTGATCAGGGTTTAAGCAAGGCAAAGTTCCGTTAAACTACGGAAAATGTTGAAATTAACTGAAAATTCTGTTTACGAACGAACGGAGAGAATCGTTCAGTTTCAACTCATTAACTGACCGAAAAAATATTAGTTTAATCATTAGTTAAAAAACGAACTGTAACGTTAAAAATGCCGCACAGTCCACTCTGAAGTCTCATTTTTTGTGGATAACCCATTATCTTAAGAATCAGGATATCAAGATTCATATTTTCTGATCCTAGATGATATGAATATAAATTCTTTAATAAAAAGATACTTCAAGCTTTGGTAGATATTTAAATCATATCTTCTTAAAACTAGAAGATATGCAAGATATTTTAGTAGACACATTCTGTATCCTGAGAACAAGTTTAGATCTGCTCTGCCCTGTCAGACGGTTCAGGTTTCAACTCATCAACATGGTTCAAACAATAGGAGAATATTTAAACCTTGTCTCAGACATAATAATTAAATATTTGCATCTGCCCCTGGATCCATCCTTTCATTCTTCTTCTTTTATTCATCAATCTTTGTCCATAATTACTAGATATACAAGGAGACAGAATATCAGGCCCGGAGGGGAGGAAGAGGAGAAGGAGAAGGAGGAGGAAGAGGAGAAGGAGGAGAAGGAGGGGGAAGGAGGAAGAGCATGAGACAGATAATTATTAGGTATACAAGGAAACCGAATATCAGGCTCGGTTAAAGAGGGGAGGAGGATCAGGAGGAGGAGAAGAATGAGATTGAGGAGAAGGAGGAGGAGGAGCAGGAGGAGGAGGAGCAGGAGCAGGAGCAGGAACAGGAAAAGTAGGTTCAGAAGCAGGAGCAGGAGCAGGTGGAGGAGGAGCAGGAGGAACAAGAGAAGTTAGAGGAAGAGGAGGAGGGGAGAAAATGGTTGGTAATCTCTATTTGCTTTAAATGAAAACAAGAAATCAAACTGTATCTAACATAATAATGCAAACAGTACATATATCTATCTACATACAAATATCAATATATTTATGTTTGAAAGTAGCTACGGTGTATTTAACTTCAAATAAATCTTAAAAACAATAAACTTAAAATTCGATATTGTCTTGGAATTTAATATATTCATCCAAATATAAATATATTTATCTATTTTCTGTCTTTACTTGTATCTTACATATTCGTACCGAGCAGGTTAGATATATAGGTTGGATATACTACTGAGTAGCTTGTATATATCCTTGGGTAGGTTAGTATATATCCCTAATTAGGTTGGATATATCCCTGAGTAGGTTGGATATATCCCTGAGTAGATTGGATATATCTCTGAGTAGGTTGGATATATATATCCCTAAGTAGGTTGGTTATAATACTGAGTAGATTGTATATTTCCCTGACTAGGTTTGATGTATCCATGAGTAGGTTGGATATATCCCTGAGTATAGGTTGGAGATATCCCTGAGTAGGTTGGATAAACTACTGAGTAGGAGTAGGTTGGATATATCACAATGTAGGTTGGATATATCCCTGAGTAGGTTGGATATACTACTGAGTAGGTTGGATATATCACTATGTAGATTGGATATATCCCTGAGTAGGTTGGATTTACTACTGAGAAGGTTGGATATATCACTATGTAGATTGGATATATCCCTGAGTAGGTTGGATTTACTACTGAGTAGGTTGGATATATCACTATGTGTCAATATATTCCTATTATTTACCGTTACCTAAATAGATGCAAACTTATTTATAGACTTTTTCTAGTAGGTGATGCATCTTTACTCATCCAACCATATTTTCAATTCTTCATGAATAGAAGGGATGCTATAATCAGAGTAATATGTAACAGTATTTTCCTACCTACATCTCTATCTCTATCTCTATGTATGTATTCTCTACATGCATCCCTATTTCTCTGTTATTAGCTCTCTGAGTAGTAAAGAAAGCTTGAACAAACTTTAATCCTCTCTGAAACCAACAGATGTGTATTATTGTGAATACATCTTAATATTATAATTTTACTAGAATGACTTCACAACATACAATAGATCCTGGGGTTCATCAATCTACAATTAATAATCCCCCCATACATCAAGAGGGAACCAGAGAGGGACAGATTGATACATCATCATGATTATCATGGTTAGGAATTATCTTACAATAAATGATTTTAATAATGTCACGTTAGAAACATTATATTTATCTGCGCTCTTATTTCAAACTGACCTATTCCTTCCTTCCTTCCTTCCTTCCTCCCTTCTTTCTGGATGTAAAATAGTTTGAATCATGATGGATGTAAAATATTTTGAATCATGAGGGATGTAAAATATTTTGAATTATGAGGGATGTAAAATAGTTTGAATTATGATGGATGTAAAATAGTTTGAAATGTGATTGATGTAAAATAGTTTTGAATCATGAGGGATGTAAAATATTTTGAATTATGAGGGATGTAAAATAGTTTGAATTATGATGGATGTAAAATAGTTTGAAATGTGATTGATGTAAAATTCAAATTTGCTAAATTTGATCAAATAGGAGAGAAAAAACGTTTAAAAAAATCAAAATGTAAAGTTGGAGTGACCGCGGCACACTGTGAAAAATCTTGATTTAAAAGGGAAAATGAAGAAAGAATTCAATTAATTTTTAACATTCTGACCCCCCCCCCCTTCTCCCCTGCTACCTGGAGAACTGAGGTTTATGTTAAAAGGATAAAAGATCTGAGCTCCAGGCTGGATCTACAGTACTAAGAACTTTCCTTGTCAAAGGCACAAAGGGGAAAAATGTTTAATTTTATGCGAAGACAAACTATTTGATTATTTAGATTCATAACTTCAGGGGATTCTACTTCTTTAAAGAGACAATTCACTAAACTCAGAAATGGAAGGTCATTTAAAAAATTATTTTGAATAAAGTTGTTTATTTTCTCTTTTTCTTCATTGTCTCGAAACCATCTTAAATTACAAATGTTTTTGATTTTGGTGAACGTTTCCCTTTATTTGAAATAAATAAATATTTGAAATTGAAGAATATGAAATACACTCAACTTAAATTCAATACAAATTTTACTAAAGATGTAAAGGGCGGAGGAATAGAGTTAGAGGAAAGGTGGGTTAGGTTGGATTTTAGAAGAGAATAGAAAGGAGGGATTGAGAGAAGGAAAGGTTAAACAAGTATAAAGGAATAACGCTCAGATGATAAGATCCGAACTAACAGACGAGAAGCATGCCACGGCTAGGCTTTTAGGTCGCTTTCTAGTTACATATTTAGATTTTAATATTGCTTCTAAAATCGTCATATTTTTTCACACTTCAAAAAGCTGTTTACAATTACATTGATAGATTTAAAAAAAAAAAAATTTAATCGATCTTTTTTTAAGCAAAATTTTTAACTTCGACCACCCAAAGATCTTTCCAGGAATCATTTGAGGTTCGGTCTACACAAAAAAGTGGCTAAATCGTCATTTTGACGTTTATTGGATACAAACAAACCAACAGACAGACAACCAAAAATATAGAAGAAGCTAAGTACGGAGGAATAGAGAAGGAAAATTAAAAATTAAATTACTCCTGCAATGGGAACCACTCCTGTTTGTGGCTGTGTTAGAGGGAGGGAGGGAGGGAGGGGGGAGTAAAGAAGGCAAGAAAAGTAAGAGTTTGAAAATTAAGTAAAATATTTAACAGGCAAAGGGGGGAGAAAAAGGGAGAAAAAGGGGAGAAAAAGAGGGAAAAGTGTGGAAAAGATGGAAGAAGAAGGAGGAAAGACAACACCGGAAAAAAATAGGGAATCCATAAGATATTATGGAAGGAACAGGGTAAACAACAACAACAAAAAGATGAGTGATGGATGAAAAGTAAAGTAAAAAGATGTGTGGGATTGGAGAAAAGAAATGGTTGTAATTTTTTTAAGAAGAAATAAAAAGTTGAAAGATTGGGCAGAACAGAAAACCTGCAGATCAAGGAGATATAGATTTTAAAAAGAGGAAAAGAGAAGGAAAGCTCAACCAAAAAATTTGATTAAAATTAAACCAATTAAAAAGCAGAGATAAGGAAATAATTAGAAAAAATTATTTCTCTTCTCCCCCTCCCCCCCTTCCCCTTACGTCTTCCAATTATACTGTATTTGAATACTTTAGAATTGAAGTGTACGTGTGTGGGGATGGAAGGGTTGGGTAAACGTGATTTTTAGCTGTAAAGACGTAAAAGAGCAGGTGTGCCTAGTGTATACTAGTACCCGGAGCAGGATTTGTTACAGTTTTGACAAAATTAATGAACCTTTACACAGTTTACACAGTCAATTGTTTTCAATTTTTCCTTTCATTTTTACAAATCCGCATCTGCACCAGGGACGAGAATTGGAGATCTAATTGCTCCGGAGCTGTTGAAACCTTGAATAGGAAACAGAAGGTTTGGATACATAACTCTTTAATCAACAGCTAAACTAGACAAGGATACAGTAACCAGCACGCTTCTAGCTCCCTCCCTCCCTCCCTCCTATATACTCCGGACCAGTCTGTAATCCCTAGCGCTAATGTTTTACAGGAAACTAATAATA